TTTTTGGAATGGCGAACTCCTTATCCTAGAGGATTTGAATTCTAAGCCAATTTTGATGTCTAGTTCGACAATTCAACCTCTCAAAGGAAAGAATATTGATCCATTCGTTAAAGCTGAAGCATTTCTTGTTGGGTGGGAGAGGGTACAGGGGTCAATCTCCTTTCAGGGGTTTACTGGCGCGCATTGATAGTCAAATTATTTGACTATTTATTGTTTCGATCCTGCCACCTACCGTTGCATCTGTGATCTTGCAAAGTCAGTCTACTTGGTAATCGAATCCTTGAACTTGAACGTTTAATTGATGTATGTTAATGTAGAATCATTTTATAGACTAGTACGTTTGTAAATTCAGCCCTCCAATACGGCTGACAGGAGGCATGTATGTATTTCTGCTGACATGACCGGTCTACTTCTACTACTTCTACTACTACTTCTACTACTTCTACTACTTCTACTATTTCTACTTCTTCTACTACTTCTACTACTTCTATTATTTCTACTACTTCTACCACTTCTACTATTTCTACTACTTCTACTACTACTTCTACTACTTCTACTACTTCTACTACTTCTACCACTTCTACTATTTCTACTACTTCTACTACTTCTCCTACTTCTCCTACTTCTACTATTTCTACTATTTCTACTACTTCTACTACTTCTACTACTTTTACTGCTACTCTCACGAATGGCATATCCGGTCCCCAGGTAAAACAAATTGGGCATCCCAAGTGATAGGATTCATCGGCAGGAAAAGAAATTGAATGATGCTTCCCTTACTTCTGGAGACAGAAATGTTGGACTGAGAGATGCAATGAAAAAAGTTCAAGAAAATGTCACATGCCCGTTCCACGTGAGGTAGTAATAATAATTAAACTGCAGAGAGGAAATTAAGTCTGTGCTATCAAAGCTACCTGCTGATTAAACTGTCAACTGCAAAGGAAATTGTTCATTCATTTTATCACTAACTCGTTCATATTCAACGATAACTAACGCACACATGTTGTCGTGGGAGTCTAATTGATTTTACACGTGCTTTCAAAAAAGTCGTGTATTTCTAGAGGCCGTACATTTTCATGGAACTTGCTGTCTGAGTGTTATTCGACAAGAATATGCGTGGGCATTTGGTGAAATATATATAACTTGCCATTGCACTGATTTCTACTGAGTTGGGTGTGTGGTTGCCATTTGAGGTACCTTCAATGTTATTGTGCTTTATCTTAAGTTTTCGTGACGATACATTTATTGCACCATTGAACAATCTAGTCATCAGTAGTCTCACCAACTCTTTGACAAAAGGTACGTGCTCCCTCCAGTACGCTGTACATAATATTATTTAGTTTGTAAACCTACTGCTCAGGTACAATGAAGAGCTCGCTGACATATCTGTTGACGTTAGTGCTCATAGTAACATCGGGGGATGCCAGGCGCGCAAAAGTGCTGTGTCGCGACCAAAACAGGTTGAATTCTATACTTAATCTGACCAGAGGTGACATCACCGAACACCTTGCTGAACATTCGAGTTCCGATGGACAGAACAGAATAAACCTGCGCTGCAAAGGCATTGCTAGGATTGTTGATGGCATATTCCTAGAGGGCGATGACATAGCATATCTCAACCTATACGGGAACAACATAAAGAACATCGGGTCGGGGGCTTTTGCGGGACTTGGAAAACTGTTGCTACTGAACCTCGGTAGCAACTTTCTGACGACATTGGATGATGGTGTGTTCTCGGCATTGCACTCTCTTCAACAACTGCTTCTAGGCAATAACCGCATCACTCGAATTTCTCCAAACGCTTTTCGTGGCCTGTCGGCCTTACAAAATTTAGAACTGTCCGACAACTACCTTGTAGAGTTCCCGCTGGAGGCAGTGTCTTTGATTAGCAGTTCAGTACTGAAGACGGTCTCCGTTTCCTCCAACAACATCTCCGAAATCCCGGCAGGAATCGCACGCTTGCCTGCCGCAGTTGTGCACCAGTTCGCCGGCAACCCACTGAGGTGCACCGGCAGTATTAACACCGCGAGACCGTCCCTACACGTTGTAGAATTCCTCGATTCCTCTGTGGTAGGACATTTGGAGACGTGCGTGGTACACGAAATTGCCTGGCAAGCTCATGGTACAGAGGCTCTCTGGCACCGCTTCTCTTACCAGAGGAACTGCAGGGAAGTCAACCCCAATGCCACCGTCCGTTCTCCAACTATAACTATTCTCAAAGAGGGGAGCGATGTGTTGTTGCCATGTGGGTCAAATAAGGAGAGCATACCCACTAGATGGACGCGTAGCTTTCCCGATGAAACAATTTCGGTGAGGAACGAAAGTTCTCCGCTGCTACTGAGGAACGTGATGGCACAGTCGTGTGGTCTGTACCGCTGTATCACGGAAAAACGTGAACCTATAGCGCACGGAATGGTCAAACCTCCGATAACTGTAACGTGGAGGGACATACTTCTGTGTGTGGAAACACCATCGACGTTTTGTGGAGAACCGAAAATTACGTTAGAAGAAGGGACGTCATCCAGTGGACCCAGCGAAACACCAACAACACCGGAACAGGTGGCAACAACAGGCACTGCAGACAAGTCATTCTCGTCAGGTTTCCACGTTGCTGACATTACGGCTACATCTGTGTCACTGCGGTGGTTTAACAATGGCAAAGACTTGATCATTCGCCGTAGCGTTGTTGTATCCGGGATTGGGACCAAAAGGCAAGTATACCGACTACAAGGAAACGAGCCTGTGTCAGTTTTAAAAGGTCTGACTCCCTCGACTCTGTACAGTATCTGCGCCGTCGTTGTTGCGTCGAAAGGGGAGACAAAACGAATTGAGATGAAACGGCTTGGATGCACACAGGTTCGCACAATGGACAAAATGCAAAGTACAGACACAAGCATATCTTTCAAGAAAGCTATCATTAGCACAATAGCTTCTATCGTTTCCGTACTTTTTGTCGCGTTTGTTTGTGTGATGGGGAAGAAAGCTTTACTTAAACTTCGTGCTACGAGATCTGGGACACAGAAAAGAGTACGCGCACGTGGCGCTCTAGCGTGTAACATGGTCGCAAATTCTCACTACCAAAGACCACACGAAGACGACGCCCCAGACGACGCCCAGAGACTAGAACGCCTGCAAGAATTTGACGATGACATCAGAAGACTTGAACGTCTTCTACAAGCAAGTTGTCGCTCCAATGAAACGGACACATGTGTCGAGACCTCTACATCACCACCCCACGCGTATGTTCACTATCAGGCACCCAGAACTGGTGGCTATGTGAATGGGGAGTTCAACTTGAGAGAGTTAAGTACGGAAAGGGCTTTACTAACGTACCGAAAGGAAGTAGCAAAGGAACGTTCGGCAAAAACCACTTACAACTGAAAAAAAACACACATAACATTACTACTTAAAATAGATGATTGACACCAACATTGTAAGGGGCAAGTAGAAATTAGACGACAATAATACGTAACAAAATTGACTAGCGTAAACACGAACATATTACTGATACTGTTATATTAAACACCAAGCACCTACCAATGTTTAGCATGAAAGAGTAGTGAACAACGTTGACGGAGCCAGCCGAACATTTGGTGCAAGGCAGTTCAGTTTAGTCTTTATTTCGTAATACCTACCAATTTAAAAACTATTTCTTATCATAAGTTTGATAATTGATAGATTCAACGCTACGTGCTTTGTGCCTAGGCGCCTGAGTTTTGAAGTTAGAATCACTGCTGCTGTAACTCACTAAATATGCATGCTAATGGTAAAAGTTGGAGTGATGTTCGTTGTACTACCAGTAGCAAGAAGAGCATATATTGATTATAGTGCGAATATCCTATAATAGCTTCAAGTGACTATTGAACTATATTTGTTGGGGATTGTATGCTGATATCCATCACATCAAAACCAATTTCTGTGTATTAGTATTTGTGTTTGTGTTTGAAATAAACCAATGATATATATATAGTATGTCGCCAAATACAAGCCATGTTTGACTGTGGGGCATATCTGTGCAGTAGCAAATGTTCGGCCCTGCAGCTGTAGTGCATGTATTTCTTTCTGTCACATTGGAAAACATTACTTAGAACACCCACACAAAATGTAATTTTTCTTATGAAAGAAGCCTCCAGACAAGAGACCGAGTGATTGTTTTCCACACGTAATTATAATTATTGACAGGAAACTAGTCTGCCTCTCCGTAACTACACTGTAATTAAAATATATAATGTTTACGTTTTCAATTACGTACAGTTGTTGTTGTAATGTTCCTGATTGGGTCTAAACGTGCTGTGAATAGAAATTCACTATATTATATCAGAATATATGTGCTTTTTCAAATATTTCTCTACTCTTAATACTTGTGTAATTATACTATTAGGTTAAATGGTTGCTAGAAATAAGTACTTTCGAGATTTTAGATTGTGTAGTCCTAAAACATAACGGATTTTGAGTAAGACCGGACTAAGAAATGATACTATGGTATCATTTTCTATGTTAAAGTCATCCAATGCAATTTTAGGGAGGCAAAACTGGAAATATTCTAAATATTGACACATATTGACGCACACTGTTCCACATTAGCACATTTAAATCAGTATTTCATACTTTAGGCTTTTAAAACTGCTGAAGCAAGCCCCAAGATTAGTCCTTTATTTCCTGGGTGGTACCCTAAAAAATCAATGCAGGTCCTTCCAGTAACCGTTTCTCATGAGAATTTTGGGTACTTTTGCTCCATGAATGTCCATATACATTGGGACAGTGTTCTTTCAACTTGTAAGGAGATATAAGTGACTAGAATATTGACTTTGAAAAGTCTGGTTTCCAAGCCCTAAAAACTGCACTGGGTGCCTTTAATATCAAACAGATTTGCTATCCAAAATATTTATTGGTTTTGGTGCTCTGAAATTGCCTTTAAAATCATGGGTAAACAGTAAACACACAACAATCCACTGTAGCCCGCGTGCCGCGACATGATAAGGATCATCGGGCGGGGAAAATCCAATTAGGGTCACGTGGGTCAACACTAATGACCCAGGGAGGCAAGATGGCGTCCGAAGATGCCGAGATTTTGTGCAAGCTCGAAACCCTGAAGGAAATACGGTAAGTATGCCCCATCTGTGAGAAATTGAGCATCGTAGGGCTAACCTGAGATAACATAGACAGTTTAGGTGGCAGTGGTGTGGCGTTAGCACGTTTAGTTATGCTGCAATTGCAGACAGATGCCGTTTGGTGGCGTGATCGCGCCGGCCGCACACAAAGACTGTTTTCATTGTTTATGGTGGGACCGTTAATCAATATGTATGACTTTTTTTCATGATATCAAGGAGGTTCAAAAAGGAAGATATCTTTTGAAAATTATAAGAGATCTGCAATAAAAAAACAGTCTAGAGAATGAACATATCAACGTTACCTCTTGCTCGTGTATAGTTTTGTGTGCGAGTGCATTTTTGGCTAGCCAAGATTGGAGACTTCCATTAAATAAATTTGTAGTGCTAGTACTAGATTGATATTGTTGTGTATATATTTGTGCTATATTCAAGCTAACCTTTGTACCTAACCCAGTGGGTATGTTTGTACAATAAAGGTCTTCATTCATTCATTATTAATTGATTGTTCTGAGCGTAGCATGTTGTGTCCAAGATATTTAAATTTCTGTGCCCTGTGCAGATTTATATTTGCCCCATCCAATCTGTTTTGGAGCAGACAAACAACTAAGTTTTGTGATGTAATTACCTTCGCCAAGAAGGTTATGTTTTCGTAGGCGTTCGTGTGTCTGTGTGTGTGTGTGTGTGTCAGCACGATAACTCAAGAAGGCTAAAATGGATTGTCTTGATATTTGGTAGGTGGATAGGTCTTCATGAGACGTGGAACTGATTAAATTTTGGGCCCCCTAGCGGCTTGTTATGGTACTGCAGCTGAACTTCCAGTTTTGATATCTCGTGATCTAGACATGCTAGGGTGACGAAATTTGGATGGTAGGTAGCTCTTGTGCTGGGGAAGAAGTGATGTGAGTTTGGCCTCCCTAGCGGCTTGCTCTGGAACTGCAGGGGCGTTAGTTGAAAAATATTTAAAGGCGGATAACTCTAGAACCGATTGATGGATCGTCGTGATTTTTGGCATGTAGGTAGCTGAAGTGATGCTTAACATAATAATATTATAATTATGCATATGTTAATGTAATTTGCATAATTAATGAGGAAATTCTATAAATCAGCTGCATTCCATGATAGGACTATTCAAGCTTGTGACATATGTAATTAAGAACGGCAGAAATACAGGCAGATATCGATTATGCAAATGAAGACTTAATTTGCATAATTAATGAGAAAATATTATATTTACATAGTGGTAACTGCCTGGAATTTCATACTTGGGATATTTGAGAGTTATGTGAAGGTGAACATAATTAAACATAACTTATTCAAATAAGGACCTCATTTGCATAATTTATGAGGAAATGCTATAATGGCATTCTTTGATAAGATAAGACTGTCTTCTGGTGTAGAATATGATCAACAGATATAATTGATGCAAATATAGGATCCTATTTGCACAATCAGGGGGATTAATCTATAATTTCTTACTCATAAAGGCTAACATCATTTGGCGGAGGTATGAGATCGTGGAACTCTAGTTTTTATTTTATGTCTAGTGGTGACGTGAATATAAGCATGTTGCTTGAGTGCGTCACCACTATGTATTATATTTTTGCATGTTGAACTAAAAAAAAAACTAAGTTCAGTGTTCGAAATACACATCTGCATTTAGCAGTTTTTAAAGATTTGCAGAAGAAAAATCATACAATCTGCAATTTTGCATTATTAGGTTGAGAAATTTGTAGTATGGAGACTTGTGTATACGGTACAAAATTTTGACTCATCTGCAATATTGAAGAACATTGAAAAAGAAGTGTTTCTACCACCGAACTACTGTCTACTTGTGTTTAGGAGTAAGATGCTCCAGCTGGAGAAGGTGAAGGCGCGTCTTAAGCAGGACGTGGAGACGACAGAACAGGAGAACGTGTGTCTGAAGGAGTACCGGGAGGAGATGGACATGTTGTTACAGGAGAAGATGGCTCACGTGGAGGAACTCAGGCTCATCCATGCAGACATCAACCTGGTAAGGGTAATAACCTCCCTACTCTCATCTGCCGAATAAACATACCCCCCGGAATAAACGTACCCCCGGAAAATTACCAAAATTGACGGGTAACCTGTGTCTCTTGTACTAAAATGCACCCTTACTGATATATGCACAAATCTTTAACTGTTATTTGCAATTAGGAATTTAAATAGACAAAAAAAAGAGCATTTAATATTTTGTATTTTGATAAGCACCACCCATGACAATAGAACATTCAGACGAATTTATGCACGCGGTGATTGCAAAAACCGGCCCGAAAATGACAAGTTTCTCGCTACAATATGCGTTTATAAACGTCTTCACGTCGATGATTTGTCAATTTTTTTCACACGAAGTTGAAAAAAATTACTGGTTTTCAAAAAATTAATAAACGTACTGTGCAAAATAAGAACGTACTGGGTGGATGTTTGGGCCCAAAAAAATAAACGTACCCGTATGTTTATTTGGCAGATGAGAGTAGCCTGGGTGTCAGCCTTTTCAGCTTTTGTAAGCTCCACACAATTCACTACCAGCAAAAAAGACTGAACCTGCACATACTCCTAATTATATAATGACTGATAATTATAATTAGCCGAATCAAGCTGCGCCGGTACCGTAGTGAATTGTGGGGAGCGCACGAAAGCTAAAAAGGCTGACACTCAGACTATAACATCCGAGTAGACCTTTTGCGGGCAAAGTCATAACCAACCAGCAGATACTAGTACACAATGTACTAGATACTCAGTGAGTACTGTCTTACCAGTTATTTACATACAATATTGCCCTGGAAAGGTTTGCTTGGAAATTAGATTAAAGGGTTGGAGCAGCAAGCCTGGGTACCATCCTCCATAAAAACAGGCCTATGCATAGGCATCCCAGGCCTATTATGGCCCTAAATGCTGCAATAGGAGCCATGATTCAGTCAACACCAGGCTTTTAGCTAGGATTTTTTTGTTGGGCGTCCATTTTTTGCATTGTATGCTATGCTCAGCATTTAAGATGCACGGTGCACAAGCTTTTTAGGGGGCCTTTTTTGAAAGTCAAAATGCTCTCAAACACTACTTTTTGCATTTTGAGTTATAGATTTTGAGGAATTTGAGTTTTTTTCCTTCAGTAAACCATCATTTTTGTATTTATAGTAAGGCTGAAGGGAGGCATGTGTGCAAGGCAGGGTTGGGAGTGGAAAAAAAACAGGGCGTCTTTAGGGTGTCCTACCAGAAAGCAGGGCGTCCAATTTCTTAGTATTTTCAGTACAGGGCGTCCAAAAGACACCCTGGACACCCCCCTAGCTAAAAGCCTGGTCAACACACCAGGCTAGTTTCAAATTTAAACAATGAATTTTTTTAATGCAACCAGTTGCATTGATAATGATAGAAAAACGGTGACAACTACAAAGAAAAAGACTGTCTTCAACTGTTCGGGACAAAATATGAGCATTTTTCTGTTGATTCTAAACCAGAATTTTTTTTTAATTTTTTTTGCAAATTGGAAAAAAATGATGCGGCCGAATCCATGAACTAACAAATTAAATTAGTGCAGCATTATACAAATCCATTAAAGTCAATGTAAGAGTCAGTTCATGGTAACTTGAACTGGTGCAGTCAAAGATTTGGAAATCAAAACATGCATGTGAAAAGATGTGTTCTCTTGTACCTAGATGGAGACGACCATTAAGCAGGCTGAGGTGGAGAGGAACCGCTCCCTGGAGGCCGCCAAGCGTATGTACGAGGAGGTGTGCCCCCTGAAGGACCACGTGGACCAGCTGAGGGCCTCCATCGGCCTGGAGAAACTCCCCAGTCTGGAGGAGGAGGATGAACGGATCACCCCTCAGTCAGTATACTTCTCTACAGTCTTCTACCCAGCCTGAAATTTTTCTCCCTCATCTCAGCTTTGTTTGGAGTAATGTCATGTTGAGTGCTGAATGCAACAAACAACCCTAGGGGGTCTGGCCCCTTGTAGAAATATGGTTAATAGGGATGCACTGGAAAAGAATAAAAAATATTGTTGGAGAGGAATGAGATTATGCCTAGAAAAAAATGTTATGTTTCTGGTTTCAGTCCTGAAAAAAAATGTTATGTTTCTGGTTTCAGTCCTGAAAAAAAATAAGGTACATGTAGGTAGGTAGGAATATTGTCTATAATCTTTCTTTTAGATTAAGTGAAGTGATAGAGGAAATATACTTTCTTTGAAGTAATGGAAGAAATTCAGTTTAAGAACGTAAAAGCCATTCTTGAATCCATTTGCTTTTGAGGAAGCGTCTGGTGTTTTACGTGATTTACTCAATGAGTGTTTGCTTCTGAAAATCCTTCTGATGTATCATTTCAATCAAAGGGTTTGAATTTCAGATATCTGAATGATTCAGATTGAAATTTTCTGGCCTTGCCAGGAGTTGAAGGAGGAAAAAAATGTCAACCAATTTTCGCCAGGGTCACTTGGGAAACTGTAAGCACTACATTTCTTTTTCCAAGGCCTTAGTATGATATTTATTGTATACCCTTTATAAGTGATTTCTATCCAATCACAGGTACTTTGAGAAGCAGAAGGCAGAGTGGGCCACGGATCAGACCGATCCTCCTATCCCAGAGTCCCTTGCAGCAGCAGCTGCTGCAGCCCAGGAGCTCCAAGTGGCGCGACAGAAAGGCGACACAGGACGGGGCTTCCGGCAGCAGCCGCCTCCCATGAAGGTCAGGACAACTATCTGTATAGCCACTGAGTATCTTTTAAAAATGGTACACACTTCTTCCCCTGCTTTAGCACTCAGCACATATGAGAAAGATAGTGGGATGGTCAAACACACAACACTACCAGTAGAATAGCCCCCTGCTGTAGTGCCTGGCACAACTGTGTGTCGCCCAAGGGCTACAGAAATGGAGATGGGCACCACCGTACGCTCGGCATAAGAGCACCGGAGACCTTCACTATCTAATACCAGCCCAGAAAAGAATGAGAAGCAGTTATGTCTTCAAATATCAAGTTCCACTTTACGATAGTTTTTAAACACCTCAATTCTTGGTTGATAACTCTTACTATTGCTTGTTCTTTTCTGAGGTTTCTGGACTGTAGGCATTAAAAGAAAAATATATCAAACTTAAGAAGCATAGCCATGTAGTCCCTCCATTTTAAAGTTAGATGCACAGTGAAGGAGGGATTGTTTATCGTATGATCCAAAGGTAAACAAAACTATCTTTTTTTCCAGGCTTGCTTATCCTGCCATCAGCAGATCCACCGTAACGCTCCCATCTGCCCACTCTGTAAGGCCAAGAGTCGCTCCCGCAACCCCAAGAAGCCAAAGCGCAAGCCTGACGACTAAACACGTGATTACGAACTCCCATCCCAAAATAGTTTCATCTGGTGCTGTGTACCTGTTTGCTGGACCGATTCTGGACTTGTAAAAACGTTTAGGTTTAAGTCCGAACACCTAAAAGTCATGAGCCGAATCCGGACTTATTACAAAAAAATACATGTCATGTACCCCTTTTCTTTCCAGAGCACCTAAAGCCATCCATAGATTGCAAAATCTGTGTTGCAAAATGAAGAAAACATTGCCATCGGGCATCGTCAAATGTCAGCCTCCATGTTATGTGGCCACAGTTTTGCCCATACAACATTGCAAGGTTGCCAACATGCAATTGTGTATATGTCATGGTTTTAGGTTCGGACTTACTAGTTCAGAACTGAACCTAAACCTCTGGACTTGAATCTGGATCTGAACCTAAATGTGGCTTTAGGTACACAGCATTAGTTAACTGTTTCATCAGATTGGTAGAACATACAGGATATGGGGATTTTCTTTTACACATGCAACCAGAATTGTCTCTTACCTTGCGTACGTTTCTGTGTCTATCAGACACCTTCCTCAGAGATTCTGACTAGAGTTCTGCTTCTTGCCGCTATTTGTAGCCGATGTAGGTGGCACTTTTGGCATTGCGTGCTCGCCCCAAAAGTGCCACCTACATTGGTTACATATAGCAGCAAGAAGCAGAACTCCAGTCAGAAGCTCTGATTCTGACGAAGTTGTCTGATAGACACTGAAATGTAACCAAGGTAAGACACTAAGAGATAATACCGGTTGTGTAAAAGAAGACCCCTATATCCTATGAACTTCCAGTTCTGCAACAACAGGAAACTGACTGGAAAACTGTGTTGAACATAGTTTTACTAGTGTCAATACATCTGATGATGTATTGATGTTTGTATATGTTGCGTAACATTATACGGTTATAATGTAGTAATGGTTGCACATATTTTGTCACAGTGAAAACGTATGTCATGTTTTTAACTTGTAGCGGTGGTCATGTGTTTCTATATTGTTTTGTTCTTTTGCTATAGTCTTCTAGTTTTGTTTTTGTACCTTTGTAGTCTTGTATCTCTATTGTCATGTATGTCTAGTGTTGGAAGCAAACATGAGAGACTTGTATTAATGAATGTGGAAAATTATTGTGCCAATATATTCAGCTTCTCAAACTTGTATCTTTCCACTCAACTACCGTGAAATAGATTACCATTGAAAAAGATGGTACTGAAATTATGTATTGCACAACAGTTTGCATTAATATGCCAGTGAATGCAAAATTACTGTTATGGCAAATATGACATCGCTTTGGTAGCTTTTGCACCATGTGCAATGAAAAATACAAGAGAAAAATCAAGGTTTTTATAAACACTGTCCCATCAGTATTAACTGTTGTCATGATGAATAAGAATCAGTGTTAGTGTTTGGGGTATAAGCAATTTTGTGTGCAAGATATTTACCGTAGTCAAATGTACTGACGTAGGATATAGCCAAAGTGTAAGCACCAAACGTATGGATGAATAGTCAAACAAGGGATGTGTATTTATCAAACTTCAAGTCATCTCACCTATTCCTTGCTCACAAAGGACTTTGGAAGAGATTTGTCACATGTACATGGTTAGAGGGGAAAAAAGTACTCTCTTGATCACCCCTAGCCTATAAATTTTGTACATGACTGCTGTTCCTATACCAGTATTGCAAAACATTCCAATGTATCTAGTACATGTATACAACTTGTTGCAACAACTGATCTGTTCATACCATGTATTATCAATGGTACTTGGTCAGGATTAAGAAGGCTTAAATGATGGTCGTCTTTTCTTTACTTTTCCTAGTATTAAACCAGGTATGTTGTGTTTTCAAATGGTACAGTGTTATCTGGATAGTGCGATAAATAAAGTTTGTGTAATGATTATGGCTGTGGTTTATGTGTATTTCTCAGCATGCACCTACATTATACATTATCTTGACAGTTCATCTGTGTTGGTAGAAATCACTATGAAGCAAGTATAAACATTCAGTCTCACTGGACAAAGTAAGAATCTTGGACTCAGAACCGGACTTCTTTGCACGAGGGATTAAAGAGGCCATCTACATCAGGGCATTACAACCATCCCTCAACAGAGACGGGGGGCACCACAGACTTTCTGCAACCTATGATCCACTGCTCACAGAGTCACGTGTGTTATCTGCGTGACGTCACGGAAGCGGTGGATTGCTCATTCCTTCACGAAGACGGGAGTTGTACAGTCGAAAATTTGGGTGAGTCCATTTTGTTGTGTTGGAAATTACAGTTTATACTTGCTTCATACTACATTATACATAAATTACAAAATTACATTATTTCATAAATCTAAGTCAGGATAGTGAGTCAGTGAGTGAGAAGTGTGAGTGAATGAGTGAATTGAGACATTTGTTGCATGAAAAGACCACAGAATAACACCATAGACCCTTGTAGGTCTGCCTAGTACAAAATGTCTTTATTGCTGTTAAACTTTGCAGTGCTTGCAATATACACAATGAGAATTAGCGGCCAAATGTTAATAGAATTAGATAAAATCTTGATTATTCCCAGACCGTTTTTTAACTAGAGGATGCTTGGCTATGATCTGAATTTAAGTACATATTGTACATAAGACATGGCAACATCTGACTAAAAAGATGTACTCATTATGATCATAAGACATGGCAATATCTGACTAAAAATATGTATTCATTACAATAAGCATGTAATATTATTGATAATCGGGTGATCAAAAACACCTTTTGAAATGAATGCAACATGATGCATACAATGTAATAAGACAGCAACAAGCCCTTTTAAATTTTCCTTGTATAAAGAATCTGTTCTGAATATGTATAAATACATGTATTCTTAAACCTTCACCTATCAATATTCCACCTGCTATGTGACCAAATATCACCATTTGCACTACCCCATAGACCTAAATTAGTAAATACATGTACATGTATGACTGCAAAAAAAGCTACATTTAACTATATCTATCATAATATAATTGCAGCTTCAATTCTGATTAAACTTTCATCAAATTAGATAATTTTCCCAATTACATATCATTGCCTCTGGAAAACATGGCAATAATTACATGTCATTGCTTTCACAAGTATTCTATGAGAAAATTTGGCTTACTTCATTGAATTTTTCTGCATAGCAATTAATAAACCAATAATGCCATAAAAAAACAAATAAAAAGAACACATCTTATTATAAGGATGAAACTATATCAGGTTCATGGTAATGCTCCATATTGACTAACAATACATGTGCATGTTCTAATGTTCAATTTATAAACAATGGCTGTTTCTTCAACTCTATTTCAATTAAAGGTAATGACATACCTTTCAAATTGTCCTACATCCTACAAAAACAATTCCATTAAAAAAAGGAGATTATGGAAGAATTTGGGAGAAAGCAGGAGAACATGGGAGAAAGGAGGAGACTGTGGGGTTTATTGCTGTTTTACAAAAAGTAGCTAGACTACAGCCAGGTACAAATACATGTGCAATATAAAACTTCACTATTGCTGTTCCCTTTTTTTAGATCAGTCTCCTTAGCCATGTTATCAGTGTCCAGCAGTAGGGGACTCGTTGTCTATCAGACCTGCATGTTCACTGGTGTCTGTATTTATGGTCAGTGTTGCCCCATAGTCACTCCCAGCTGATGATGTGCTTCTCCTTGGCTGTGCCTATGATAGAACACATTGAAATATTACTCTGACGGCTGAGTTATAATTTAAGCTTAACCAGACTGAATGTGGGGTCATGTGGCGTAACAGTAGTAAGAGTGTTTGGCTCAGACCCAAGAGGTCCAAGGTTCAAATCCTACCCTTTGTCACCGATCTTGTGCCCTTTACACAACTTTCCTCACTTCACTCAGGTGTAAATGAGTATCTAGCTTCGGTTAAGGATGTCCCTCGGAAAGGACGTTAAATGGAGGTCCCGTGTTTGGGAGAGCCACACCCCACACACGTTAAAGAACCCACCGCACATGTCAAAAAGAGCAGGGGACCTTCCCGGTGTGAGTGGTTCAAAACCTTACAGTCTGGTCTCAGGGCTGACATTTTGAAGAGGTGATAATCAGCAGTCTTGTTATTAATTATGTCAATCCTTCCACAAATGTGGTAAATCTTCATAAATGTAAATGAATCTTATTCTATGCCTTCTACAGCAAATGAATCTACATGATGCAAAGATTTCCAAATTACATTAATACATAACTAGAGTTCCACGATCTCATACCTTCGCCAAATGATGTTAGCCTTTATGAGTAAGAAATTATAGATTAATCCCCCTGATTGTGCAAATAGGATCCTATATTTGCATCAATTATATCTGTTGATCATATTCTACACCAGAAGACAGTCTTATCTTATCAAAGGATGCCATTATAGCATTTCCTCATAAATTATGCAAATGAGGTCCTTATTTGAATAAGTTATGTTCACCTTCACATAACTTTCAAATATCCCAAGTATGAAATTCCAGGCAGTTACCACTATGTAAATATAACATTTTCTCATTAATTATGCAAATTAAGTCTTCATTTGCATAATCGATATCTGCCTGTATTTCTGCCGTTCTTAATTACATATGTCACAAGCTTGAATAGTCCTATCATGGAATGCAGCTGATTTATAGAATTTCCTCATTAATTATGCAAATTACATTAATATACGCATAATTATAATATTATTATGTTAAGCACCACTTCAGCTACCTACATGCCAAAAATCACGACGATCCATCAATCGGTTCTAGAGTTATCCGCCTTTAAATATTTTTCAACTAACGCCCCTGCAGTTCCAGAGCAAGCCGCTAGGGAGGCCAAACTCACATCACTTCTTCCCCAGCACAAGAGCTACCTACCATCCAAATTTCGTCACCCTAGCATGTCTAGATCACGAGATATCAAAACCGGAAGTTCAGCTGCAGTACCATAACAAGCCGCTAGGGGGCCCAAAATTTAATCAGTTCCACGTCTCATGAAGACCTATCCACCTACCAAATATCAAGACAATCCATCTTAGCCTTCTTGAGTTATCGTGCTGACACACACACACACAGACACACGAACGCCTACGAAAACATAACCTTCTTGGCGAAGGTAATAATATTATCTGCATGTACAGAAGTCAAGAACATTTAGATTAGGAGTGCATTGGAGACAAAAATGCCCTGTCTTTCAATATCTTCCATACTTTTCATTTCAGTGTCCTACATTTTAGGTCTTACATGTATATTGCAATTGTAGAAAATGCTGCCTGCCTTGTACATGTAAGTATGAGACAATTTAACAACCCACTTTTTCACACAGTTTGGTAAATAAAATGATGTGCACCAACATACACAAAGACACAAATGAGAGTACTAGTATGTGATTATACACGGTGCAAAATACATCACAAAATTGATGGTGGTACTCTGGAGTGCTAAGATTAAAACATTATAATGACTTGCACCTGATAATTAACAGAAAACCCAGGAAACAAAATGTGTCAGTAACAAAGAAGGAGACGTATTATCATGCATTGAAGAAATAATACCATCTGCTGAAAAGTTATACAGAAAATACATACACTTGTAAGTAGTGCTGCATACCAGTTCACTTGACCTGGATCCGAACTTGTAAGAATGTTTAGGTTCAAGTCCAAAAAAACCTAAAAGTCAAGAACTGAGTCTGGACTTATTACCATAAAAGACCATTTCACATAGCCCTTTTCTTTCCAAAGCACCTAAAACCTTCCGTACATTGCAAAAACTTTGCTGCAAAATGAAGAAAACATTGCCATCGGGCATCGTCAAGTGTCGGCCTCCATGTTATGTAGCCAAAGTTTCACCCAGACAACATTGCAAGGTTGCCAACATGCAATTTTGTATATGCCATGGGTTTAGGTCCGGACTTACAAGTCCGGAACTGAACCTAAACCTCTGGACTTGAATCCGGACCCGAACCTAAATGTGGGTTTAGGTATGCAGCACTATTTGTAAGACAGTATTAATGACATTACAACACCCATGCAGTGAAGGTGACCTGTTGTTACACATAGTAACCGTGTTAGAGTGTGCTTGTTGTGCCATATCTTCTTAACACCACCATCCTTATGCCCTGTACCTACACAGAAAAGGGTGAGAAATTCACAGTGAATGTAACCATCAGACATTACCGTAGGGGGGTTACAGTAGGGGGGTGGTCTCATCAAAGCCATAGGGGTAGCAGCACTCCACCTCAGGAGACTCACGCCCCCCTGTCTCGCTTCTCTGAAATTCAATCAAATCAAGCTGCTCTTAATAGTTACTAGTCTACAGTAGTAGTATAGATGTAGGATAGCCATGGCTAGCCTCTGCCAGGCTTCAGAAGCGGCTGGAAAGACTAGAAATTGGCCAAATAGACATGCTAGCTAGGGAGTTGGTCTCCTAAGGAGGTACAGTTTGCCAGCAAACTGACTGTATTCCTTTGTGTTAACGGGTTTTGATCAGGTGCAGTACGTTCTGCAGACATTTGTAGAATGATGTACATATACTGTAGAATCTGATATGGAAACAGATCTACATGTAGACACATATACACAAAACACTGACACATATACATGTACATGTATTTATGTACAATGTACATTATACATGTATCCATCATTACTCCTTTTGGGAGTTGTATGTTGTGTAGATATGAAAACACACCCTTATACACAATACACATTGTACCCATTTCTATCCTTATATCTTTTGGGGATTTTCTAAGTAGATATGGAAACAGGTACACATACATCTACAGATAATACTGACTCACATATATACATGTATGTACAATGTACATCTTGGGGGTTCTTCATGTACATATGGGAACTGCTAGATACCTACAACACAGACACATCTATCCATTTCTCTCCTTAGTTTCTTATCCCACTTCACGGTTGTACAAACATTGTAGATATGGAAACAGACACATGTACACAAAACAGACACATATAGATACTCCTTACCCTTCTAGGAGACTGTCTGGACATCTGTCGTGATGCCCTGGCCCGTGCCAGGTTGACTCTGCGGTTCACATCAGCGACGACATCAGACTCATCCATGATCTCCTCCTGGATCAACTCCTCAATCACATCCTCCAGTGTGATCACACCCAGGACATCCTGTGGGATCACAGAGATCAGGATTTTTTTATTCAAAACTGGACAAGAAGATCACTCAGGGCACCATAAAACCAGGTCTATATGGATATGTGGTCACTATAGAAAGGATCTTAAAAATTACATTGTAAATGCATATGTCAATAGGGTAGACCAAAAAGTCAACAAAAGACCAACCTCTACAAAAGACCATGAGTTTTTGGTAGAGGTGGTCACTGTAATACATTGTAGTTCAACTGTAATAGTTACCGGTAGTATAATATTATCTATCTACATAAAAAAATCTAGCCAATTGCTTGAATAACTGTTTTCTTGTGTATCTATCTATACTAGATTCTGTACTGTTTCTTTCCCTATCCTTTTTGCCAAGCAAGAGAATACCTTACTTTTGGTAAGGTAATTCTCTTACATGTTAACCACTTTTAATCATGTTACTATCACGAATCCTGTACTATTCTTCTGATATGCAGTACACATACATGTTCAGAACTAATATGTTATTGTTCTTTCCTGTTTCACTGACCTTTTATAATTCAACATAAACTTTAAGAAAGATGTTCTTTTCATTTAGGGAATGATTCTTAACATTCAGAAAAGCTCACCTGTGTCTGAGCATCAGATATGCATGCAGCATGTATAGAGGGACCAAAAAAAGAGATGAGGTTGGCCGTTAAGTCATATAGAAATAGGATACCAGAAATACTAGAAACAGACAGGCAATATATATATATATGCAGTATTATTATAGAGAAACCATATTAACACCTATTAGTAAGTAGATATACGGATAACAGGAGTAGTGAGATAATGTTTATGTATCTATGATAATTTGTAGCAAAGGAGGGAAAGAGATCAGTAATAAAATTCCTGTCTTATATTCTTACCCCAGCTTCACCAGTTGAGTCCACCATTCTAACAGCACACATGTGACCTGAAACACAAGTTTCCTTTTCAGTAAGGCCTATAGTAATGTAATATGGTTATATGGGTAAAAGAGGGATAAACAATTGTATGCAAAAACTCATAACGTAATGAATGGCCTAAAGAGAGGGATATACAATGTGTATGTAAAAACTCCAGTTTAGTAAGTGTACATGTGTCAAAAACATTCTACAGTTTGGTTGGTATTTGAAATTGAATCTGCAACTTTGTGGCCTTGACACAAGAAAACATTTACTCACACAACTGGGTAGATTTTAGAAAGCATTCTCGTTGCTTGAGTTAACAGTTTTCTTGTGTATGTTATTACTTACTACATTTGTATTAGATGTTTAACCTTTATCAACATACATGTATAATGTACATGTATATTGTTGCTTTGAATTATGATGTGAGAGAAAGTGAGTAACCATATCACACCACAATTAAGCAATTAAGTAAAGGCAAAGCAAAACAAGTAAGGTAACATTTGCAATGCATAATGTTTACCTTCACATACATGTATGGTCTGCTGTGTTAATTCTTACTCAAACATATTCATGTATATAGTCAGACGGGAGTCTAAATCACTCCTGCTGTAACCCAACACTAGTTACCATGGTAACAGATGTCTGGCTCAGATCATTGACCTTTTTGGTTTGGAGAAGAAGAAGAGGAAACAGAGCAAAAACAATGTTTTCCTTTGGTAAACATAAAGAGCTCACATTTCCCTTGCTGGAATTCGTTCAGCAGGTCAAACAGTGGTGTGTCTTCCCTAACGGCTGGTAAGTACCGGGGGTTCTCCTGTAGGATACTCCGGATGGGCGTGGCTGCTACCGGGTCTAACTTGATCAACATCTTGACCAATAGGAGCCCGACAATGTTGGTCTTCTCCCCATCATACACAGGGACTCTGGAATGACCTGCTTCAATGACCTATGGGTGGGCATAGAAAAATAATAAGAATGTAACATTTGCAAAGAAAATACATAATGGTTACCTTCACATATGGTCTGCTCTGTTAATTCTCTGTTAAAAGTCATTCATTATGACAGGAGTCCAAATCCCTCCAGGTATAAAACTGCAACATGATGTAACCCAACACCAGTTACCATGGTGACAGATGTCTGGTCCGGGTCATTGACCTTATTTGTTTGGAGAAGAAGAAGAGGAAGATGAAAAAACAAAGCAAAAACAGTGTTTTTCTTTGAGGGTAAACATAAAAAACATTGAAGCAAAGGCCTGCCTTATCTTTAACTATTTACATACTAGTACTTGGGACTCATCATAGCACCGAATTTAGATATAGCCAAAGCCAGTTGTAACAGGGCTCTTGCATGAGGTGTATTAAAGAGGCCATCTACAGCAGGGCATTGCAAGCATCCCTCAACAAAGACAGGGGGCGCTACAGACTTTCTGCAACCTATGACCCACTGCTCACCGAGTCACGTGTGTCTGCATAACATGACATCACAGAAGCGGACCAAGCGGTGGATTGCTCATTCCTTGACAAAGAGTGGGAGTTGCACAATGGAAAATTTGGGTAAGTCCAATTTCTTGTGTTGGAAATCACTTCAAAACTTGCTTGTTGTCTACACCTACCATATCCATTGTCTCCTTGTCCATTTTGCCGTCAATACTGAGCATGAACACCTTGTCAAATGGTGTGAGGGCTGAACCAGCAGTCTTGTCCCTCATCTGTAGTGCTCCCTGTTTAAAATAGCCAACATTTAAGATGGTCAATTCAAGTACATCTACATTGTTTGCAACCACATACATGTACTCATTGTTTTGTTGCATCTTTTAACAACAGATGCTAACCATTTTCTTTCAACTGGTGGGTTGTTTGAACTATGATATTTTCTTTTAGTTTTACTGCTGAATATTTAGAGGTCAAATTCAAACTTGTAGAAAGTTACAAATAAGACACAATATGAGTACATGTAACTATAAAAAGGTGAACCCCACCTGTATAATGAGAACCTCATCTGTGTTCAGGGGTTCTTCATTCTCCCTGGCTTCTTCAGCATGTATGTCCACTAGAGCCCTCAACTCTAGGGGAGAAGAACATATAATGGGTACAATCCATTTACCTGGGCACTAAATACTACTACACTGTACTACCATTTCACCACACCTGTACTACAGTCAAATTAAACCTACAAAATGTACATGTGGGTAAAGGATAAGTAAGAAAAGCATACAAGGAAATCAAAGGAAAGTTAAACTTTTTTTGACAAATGAAAAGCAATAAGCACTTTCACATGAGTTAATGAGAGTTGGAGACCTACCAAGCAAGGTTTGTCCCTAGAAGGTCTTAGACAAAAGTGCAAGAAGCTGAGAAAAGTGCAGAGAAATGTGCAAAACTATGAGGGGAACAGAAGATCAAGGTCATGATATCTACATATCAATCATAACAAGTATATATGAGCAAGATACAAAAACCAGAACTTCTGCTGCAGTACCATCAGCAATCTGCCAGGTGGCCCAAATTGTTGACATCATGTTTTTTTTTTCAAATACACATTGTATTTGTCACCGATTTGGACTACCTGGGGTTTCTATTGTTTTGAATATATTATTCTATTAATTTGAAAATATTATTTTCATACAAAAATAGCATATTCCTGAAAAAAAGTAATCACCTGCTCTCCTGAAGAAAGTACCATGGTCCTCTCCTAGTAAACAGTCCAGCAACTTGGAGAGGGGCCAGGAGATGATGAAGGTCAGGAATATCAGCACACGGACCATGCTGGGGGGGACAGAGAACGAACTGTTTCACATATGTGTATCAATCACTTCATTAATAGTACTCTCAGTTGCAATAGCGCACTGACCCTTCATCTCTCAAGACAGAATATAACTAGAGAAGTAACATTTGCAAAGCAAATGCATAATGTTTACCTTCGGACATGGTCTGCCCTGTTAATTTTTACTCAAACACATTCACATACATGTACTACGAGTATATGGTGACAGGAGTAGAGCAGACCATGAAATTGCAACATTATGTAACCCAACACCAGTCACCATGGTGGCAGACGTCAACAAATCATGTCACTGGCCAGGTCAGAGGTTAGTGTTTGAAACAGAAGAAGAGGAAGAAACTGAGTAAAAACAATGTTTTCCTTCGGTAAACATAATTAAAGTTGCTGACAACTGAGCTATAGCTTCGCTATTTCCAGAGAACATAAATGGGCATTGAAAAGCCAAGAGATGAAAACTTACGGTGAGAAAAATGCTCCTATTGCAAGTCCGTACCGCGAGCACACTGCTTGTGGTATAACCCTGTTAAAAAAAGTTAACCGGCATACCATTAGAACAAATCAGTTACAGCTGGATCCTTAAAGAGCATGCTGAAGATCTGGCACCCATCATAACTCACCTCTTCAACGAGTCGTATGAGTCGGGTACAGTACCGCTCATCTGGAAATCAGCTAACGTCGCACCAGTTCCGAAGTCAGCTGAGGCAACAGAAGTCTGCGATATGAGGCCCATCTCTCTCCTACCCGTGCTGGCCAAACTGATGGAGCGTTGTATCCTGAAGAGACTCCTCCCCTCCCTACGCGCCGTCATAAAAGATCAGTATGCGTACATGAGGGGCTCTTCGACAACAATTGCTCTCGTGCGCATGGTACAAACCTGGCTAACAGCGTTGGATTCTAAGAAACCAACCCTCGTCAGAGCTCTGTTCGCCGATATGTCGAAAGCCTTCGACCGAGTCGACCATGCTATTCTGCTACAGCATGTGATCGATATCCAGGCTAGTCCACACATGGTAACGTGGATTCACAGCTATCTCAGCGGTCGGCGTCAGAGAGTAGTGGTCAACGGGGTGGCCAGCTCCTGGAAGGAGCCAACATCAGGTGTCCCACAGGGTGGTGTGCTGTCTCCATACCTCTTTCTGCTATTCATGGCATCAAGAACAACAGTTCATCCTGACACCATGAACGTGGGATATGCGGACGATGTCTCCATGTCCAGAACTATTCTTGTACGCCAAGCAGATGAAGACAACACACTCAAGGAAGAAACATCTCACCTTGACTCGTGGGCCAACACCAACAACATGCTGTTAAATGGGAAGAAAAGTCAAATGCTACAGATATGTCTCTGCAGATCTGTTCCCAGCCCACCAAGGCTAACCCTAGGGGGAGCGTGCGTACCCTGGGTTGACAGTGCAAAAGGCCTTGGCTTCATCCTCGACAAGAACTTAACCCTCCAAGAACAAGTCACTTCTATGGTCACAAAAGCCTCTCGTAGACTTCATTATCTGAGGCTACTCTCTAAACAAGGAACCAGTGTTGCAGACTTGGTCTTGGTATACCTGGCACTTGTGCGTCCTGTACTAGAGTATGGACATGTCCTACTTGTCGGATGTAGCAAGGACAGGAGCGTGCGG